AGCTAAAGATTTATACTACACAAAATACATTGGGCATTATATCCATCGCGCATCGCGCGTTACAAAAACTAGTTCAATATAAAATCTAATCTCAAAAGTATATGCTCCAATCGCAATCGCAATCTGCAGGCCAGTAGACTGGACATCTGCAGATTCTGCACTGCTTCAAAATTGCTTCGTAATACATACATCATACAGAGCAATCAATTATGTACTCCATAGCAAAACATGTATGGCATACCTTATGACCTGTCAAGAAAGCAATCAGAAAAAGGTATAGGCAGAGTATTCGATCAAGAATTCAAAAACAAGGTTTTCAAGATTCAAACAACAGGGTATTCAAGAATTCAAAAAACAGGGTATCGAAACAAAAAAGAATTTGTGACGGGATGGAGGTTGGGGCGGGATGGGAGGCAGTGCGCACGGCCTATGACGGCGGCGCAGAGGTCAGGGAAGGGGCGCAGAGGCCTGGCGGATGCTGGACGACGGCTGGCGGCGGCTGGACGAAGTGCAGCGGCGGCAACTAGGCGATGTGTGGTAGCCGGCTGAATGGTGGGGCGTTTGGACGACGGGCAGCTGCAAAGGGAGTGTTGGGAAGTTGTATCTAGGGTTGTAGTAAATGGGTTGGAGGTTAGGGTTTTATAGGTACTAGTATTAAACCCGTGCGATGCACGGGAAGATATATTTCTCATGTGCAAATTAAAGTAAATTTTTGAATAATTTAAATAATATATACAATATAATTATTTAGGACATAAGAATTTATATATCATAATCTAATGATATTTATGGTCAATATAAACGATATATCAACAAAAATCTATGAAATAAATTTTCCCCACAATAAAAGTATAATAAATGATGAAAGTTGTAAATGTTTTACAAATTTCAAAATACTTTCTTAAATATAACGTCAGTTGTAAATATAACATATGTTGTTACATTGTTGCTTTTCCCACTTTTGTCGAGGAATAATTGGAATTAGTAACATGATAAAAATCACATATTTATTGTCAAAAAAATGAACATAATATTCATTTTGGGATAGTCCAAAATGAAAGTAAGACAACTAAAATGGAACGGCGGAAATATCTATTAAAAATTTCATGGATATTTTATTTCATCTATATTACCCATTTAATACATAGTACATTGCAAGTTCAATAAACTAAATCGCAGCCCCAAACCCCAAAATACAATATCCATTCACAATATCCAAAGCCCAAAACCCATAAATTCTTTAGCTATTACGTCGACAGTAATAGCTAAAGAATTTAAGAAGAAAATGCTGACCTGTTTATTTACTCAATCAAGCATACAATTTCAGTTAATTTTATAAGTTTTTATTGTTAAAAAATTTTGATCAATCATTCAAGCAAATTGTATATCCAAATCCAAATATCACAACCACAATCAATACTTTTATATGTCACTATTTGTTACACATAAACAGTGTAGGATAATAAGAACAATTTTATCGCCATTTTCAACCAAAGATAATATTGCACGAGAACATATTGCACAGAAAAATATATACCTCATATTTTAAAATTAATTTTTTGACTTACATTAGTAATATATAAATTTAATTACTTCTCATCTCAAATATAAATTAGATCATCATAATTTAATGAAATAATATAAATTAAAAAATAAAAATATAAATGAATACCTAAGAATTTATAACTGTCTTAGAAACTTCGAAATACTTCCTTCAAGTACAGCATTGCCTATTACATTGGTACTTTTGCCATTGTTGTCACATACTAGTATTTTTTAACTACTGATATTTTTGACACGTGAAAGAGAAACATACAATTGACTTTGATTGTGCAACATTGTATAACGATTGTCCTTGATTCCACATGAGACAATCAAAGAAAATTCTCAAAATAGATAATGTCAAAGACATTCTTGGTATTAAAACCTTTTTCACTTGCCCTTAATCTTGCCAGAATTTTTTTGAAAGCATCCTGTCAGAATTTTTAAATCATTCATTTAAAAATATTCCAGCTATTTGAATTTTAAAAACATAAATTTACTATCACTCCTTTTTTATAACGATTATTTAAAATACTTCGTGTATTTCAAGATAGCACTTTTGAATGCCTTTAATAGTTGACAGATCTGACTCAAAGTCCAGCCCAATAGCCCATTTAGCGATTTCAGTCCAAAAGCCCAAGACCCAGAATATAAAATCATCCCCTAACACTGAAGCCCCCTACGTCGATCAGCATACCCTTCCCAGCTGTCAACACTGCTTCCTGTCTATCTTCTCATCAACTTCACGGCTCGACAGGACTCCACCTTAACCGATAGTCATTTTCAACATCTTTAGTCCTCACCGGCAGCTTCTACGTTTATCGGCCGCCACAATCGGTGTTCGAAATTTGATGTTTCTGACTATTCTCAAGAGCTTTACCCTCAATCATCAACTATTCTTCTAAGTGTTTTTTCATACAATTGTGAAATACTTTAATTAGTTTAATTACAATCTACGGAGTATCATTTTTACAGATTTTACAACAGCTATACGCAGCTTTGATAAGTAGGAAGTTAGGAACCAAAGAAGAAAGGAAAGTTCTCATGGAGACTTTTCTTCAAATCTGTTCAATGGTATTCAACAAAATCAAAACTGGTGTCATGTCTGTAAGTCTGTTAATCACCACAGTACACTATCCATATTCTATATAATTCTAAATGGAAGTGTATTCACATTAAAATAGGGAGTAATGGATTTTAATCTTTACTGTTTGAAAACAAAAATCAGATTTAAAGACAGCATGAAAATCTTGATGATGAAACATGAGCAAGATGTTTGCTGCAAACATGCTAATGGCGATGCTGTACCATGATAGAAGTATGTGAATTTGCAAAGTAAAAGGCTAGAAAGCGAAGAAATTTGGTCTGTGAGCAACATAAATTTACAAAGAGAATTTGCTAATGGTTTTTGTGAAGCCATGACGCTATTCTTACATTGGCAGAGCTGGGACATGAATTGCCTCTAGAAGCAAATTATATAGGGGATCGGAGCTAGAATGCTTGTATGAAGAAACGATAAATTTAGATTCAAAAAAACCAAACAATTTCATAAAATCAGACTGAAACTTTGATAAAAATGCAATATTTTTTTTTACCTTCAAAGAACAATTCAAATTCTGGATTCAAACCTACGAAATGCCTTTTCCTTCTGGGTTTAGCCTTGCCGCAAAACACATCCTTATATAGGCGGCAAGCAAGGGTGCTGCAATTACATGCTTCGGGAAGCACAACCTCAAGACAAAAGGGTATATTTGTCCATGAAAATTAATTATTAATTATTAATTACGAAATTTAATTAAATATAAAGAATTATAATATTATTTTGAGAAAAAAACTAGTTAGATCATAGATTGGGAAACTCATTGAGTTTTAGTCATACCTAAGATAATTATTTTTAAAAGTAACTCCGATTTTCAAAAGTGCCCGAAAAATTAAAAGAAAATTACCGAAAGGTGCGCCTCATCAAGATGACCTTCAAACCACCTTCGCCTTTGGTTTTTTCAGATATGTTTGAATTATTTTTTTAAAAACGATTTCGCTAATATCACTTTTCGGTGTACTTTCCGGTGACAAGGGTGGCTGAAAACAAAAAAAGAAAGATGGCATTGTGGTCGTCTTATTGAGGCGCACCTTACGTTATTTTTCTTTTAATTTTTCGGGCACTTTTGAAAATCGGAGTTACTTTTTACGGTCTTTTTCAAACGTATTTAACGGCGTGACCCTCTTGATAAAGAATGAAACACATGATCTTATCTGAAAACAGCGCCAATCACATGTACCTTTTCCGTACTTATCCCTACCAACTTTAAGTAAGGTCTGAAATAAGAAAAATAAAAATGTGTGCTTATTAAAGTTGGTATAAAAGAGTGAGATCAGAACTAAAGAGAAGCACAGATTAATTCATTTAAAAGCAAAGAAGATATGTTTTAGGATATATGAAAAAGAAAAAGTTGTCAAAGTGCAATGAGACGAATTAATAATATAAAAATTTGTATCATCAATGGTGGTATTGTATTGATCGAGTGGATAGAGAAGGTTTTTGATAAAGTAGAAGAAAGATGATAGATGCTTGATCGTAAAATGAATTGTGTTCGATCTAATTAACTCAATGAACATTACTAGGTTTATAGACAAGCATAAAGAAGAACCAATAATTGATGAAACGGTTAGAAACACAAGAGGGAGGTGTGAATTGTGTGTGTGGAACCGTGGTAGTTTTTCGTCAAGTTCTAGTGTGGGGTACAAGCTAGGTGAAACGAAACAATTAAGTGCAAAAGAATTTAATTGAGAAGAAATCCCTTGTCTCAAAGAGATTTAAAAACCTCGACCTCCCTCGGAGGGAATTTTAACAACTTCACTAAAAAGCCTTTGAATGATTACAAGAGAAACTCTCCTAGTCTAACCTTGAGCCACCCCAATTAACTCTATCTTCTCTAGGAAGAGTTACGTTTCTCTACCTTGCGGGTAGAGAGCCTCTCAGCTTTACAACAAAGCTCTCACAAAACACAAATCAACCCGAAGATGCTACACTTAGTCGATCCTCAAAATCCCATTATAATATGAAGAAGGGAATGAATAGTTGACATTTTATAATCTTTATTAAAGTAATGAATAGTTGACTTCATAGCAATGAAATTTTCATTTTAATTTAAGTAGACACTCCGTATATGTATGAGTATATGAGGGTCGAAGTGCGTGGTAGAAGAAAATGAATACGGCATGGACTAATTTACGGAATGTTTGCGTTTGCTTGTGCTTTTTAGAAATGATTTTTTAAGAGAATATTGGAAAAGTTATTTAAAGTAAAAGTAGGTTGTATTTGGAAGCAGAAGTCATTTTTATTAAAAGGTAAAAGTTAGAGTATTTGATAAAAAAAGTGATTCCTAATGTAGTATTTTATTAAATTACAAAAATAACCTCCAAATACAATAAGATGCTCCAAATAGTGGATCTAAGATATGGTCCATCGGTTGCCAACAAAAGATGCTCTAGGCGGAGGAGAAAATTGATGTTCCATGTGCTTGAATTTATATGTTAAATCAAAAGAGTATGCAGATGATAATTGGCATACAGATGAAAAGAGAATTCCACATAGAACAACGGTGAAAGGAATCTGGGCACAACAGAGAGATAACAACGACGGTGAAGCAGACCGGCGGCGGCGAAACAGCCCGACGACGGCGAAGCAGATCTACTGCGGGAGTGGTGATGGAGAATTTCTATTCGGCAGACGAAACAAAGCAGCTATGGAGGCGGTGAAGTGGATCGGCTACAGTGGCGACAAAGAAGAATGGTGGACCAGTGGTGGCGGAGCACATAGCCGACGACATGATGGAAGATGGTCTGTAGTTCTGTACGATGGTGGTTGGGATAAGGGTACTCTTGGATTAATTTATTTATTTTGAAATAAAAGCATCCCAAAAGTTGATGTTATTTACAGACATACCAAGAAGCATAAAAAAGCACCCTCCCCTTTTGGTTTTTGGCTTAAAACTGATTAAATTAAGCTGAAATTTTCTTTTGCAAACACTACATTTAGTTTTTACCCTCCAAAAAAGCTGAAAGTGCTTTTATTAAGTAAAGGCGAACACACCTATAGTCATGTATATTCGGGAGTGTTTGCGATTGCTTGTGCTTTTTAGAAGTGATTTTTTAAGAGATTATTGGAAAAGTGATTTGTAGTAAAAGTAGATAGTGTTTGTTAATAGAAGTGATTTTAGTTAAAATGTAAAAGTTGAAGTGTTTGATAAAAAAATGATTTTTAATGTATGATAGGATTAAATTACACAAAAGCCCTTGCATAAATTATACCCAGTAGAATATATCTAAATCTAAATCTAAAAACTTATAAAAGCCAATGAAGGTTAGTACCCTTTTGGTCATGAAATTTTGTTGGTGGCAATGCTATAGCTATGCAAAGTTGTACATCACGGTGAAAGCATAGTACTGTGGGTATATATTCATGCTCTTTACACTCATCTGCCATCAACTAAACCTCACGGACTTCTTACGCCCTCCGATTTTCGTGAAGGTCGTACACCATCTTTGTTTCACTTCGAAGCCCCTGCTCTATCAATTCAAACACAATTCTCTCATGCGTTTCTTAGGCCTAGGTCCGCTGCTTCAGAGCACCGCCCCACTTAGATCGCCCGGATTTGCGTTGGGAAGGAAGCAGCCCTAGCCTCTGACAGGCCGATCGTTCCGCTGGCATCTCCCATTCACGCCCCCGTTTGATTGCCGCTCCGTGGGCCGTCCCCCACTCCCGTCCCATGCGCTAATTGGCTTTTGTTTTTGGAGGTTTTGTTGGAAACTAGGTCTTCCCAGAGCACTTAAGTCAAGTCGTTCACACTAAGAAATGCCTAGCTTCGTCTCTCTCCCCGATTTTCATGGCAGCAGCTTCTGGTTCATTTCTATCTTCCTCGATTCATTTCTATTTTTTAGTTTTGGCGTTATTTGAGTGATTTTTTTTAACTCAATAACAGTGATTTTTTAGTCTAGGGACTATATATTTTTACACGGTCTATCAATAAATATTAAGCATACCAGAAAATTACTTGATATTATACGTTTACTTCCATACGCTTATTTTTAACTACAACATGAGAATAGGTTAGTGAGATCTGCTTTCACTATTTCAGTACTCAGGATCAATGAAATGCCTGTGACCACAAAGACGAGTTTAATTATCTTGAGAGAGTTACTATGTATGTCTCTTAAGAGGATACGTTGTTGAAAGGGTGAGATCCCCTGTTTCATTAGCATCATATATCATCTTTGCCTTAATCCCAAATTCATTGAGAATCAACGAAATCAATATAGATTATCAATTTTAAAAGGGGCGACTTGGTTCAAAGTGAGGATGCGGGAAGGGTCCCGCCACAAGGGTGTATTAGTGATCTGAGCCTTTCCTTTTCATTTTGACAAGGTCATCCCAGGACTTGAATTAGTGATTTCTCATTCACGCAGCACATTGTAACAGGTGCACATAGGCTCCCCTTCGTATAGGATAAAATTATTGCCTAAAATTAGTTAACATCATTATTTATGCACACACAGTAGGAAAGTTTCAGTGTATGGTCCTTCCTATTTACATCTCAGTACGAAACAATACAATTAGATAAATTCTAAATTGGTCATCATCATATGTTTATAGGATCCGGAGCCTCTGTCTTGCTTTAAAGCAAGGCAGGGTGCCTGGCTCTTCGGGGTCGTTCGATCGGAAATTGGATGGACGAAGATTTTGGGCTCCACCCCTTCATCGATCCCGAGGTCCTCCTTGTCGCTTCCCCGCCGTCGGATGCCGCAAGGCACTCTGCCTTATGGCAGAGGATCCTGATTCATGTTTATCTACCTGCATTGGGAGTATCATCAGATATGATTATATGAGCCAAGATAGTTATCTTAGCCATGTCCTTTTATTCGATTGAACGTATCCTTTAAATAAATTAGATTTAATTGCGCTGTTAAATGGGTTTAAAATTACAATGTTTAATATAGGAAGAAAAACTAAGCAAGTACTCCTTTCTTTGCGTACCACTCGGGAAGCAATCTTTCCCCTCCATTTCCAACACATGTATGAAAGCGTGGGAGTCTAGCAGCACCCGGTGAAGATCAAAATCAATATATATATATATATGTATGTATATATATATATATATATATATATATATATATATATATTCCGGACCAGTTAACTTGCAAAAATCATTTGACGACCTTCCGGATTGAGTTTTTGGCTGAATTTTTTTGTGGATAAACTAGACTTGATGGAGAACATGCCATAAAAATTTCATCAAAAAATTCCACCGGGAAGGCGGCCAAACGCCGCCGGCCGGACGGCGGCTCCTGTCCGGACGTCTGGACAGGATCTTTTCTATATATATATATATATATATATATATATATATATATATATATATATATATATATATATATATATAAAGAGGAACTTTTTAAGAGCATACAAAGCGCCACATAATCCTGCCATGTCATTATATATATTAATTATATAGTTATTTTTATACCTTCTATTTTTATTAGCTAGATTCTATTTTTGATTGCATATTGATATGGAAACAAAAATCCGTAGAAATCTACCTTAATTAATTTGGTAACTTTTTCAAAACCCATTACGTATTTGATAAGTATTAGATTCTTTAATTGGAACCACAACAATCAATAACCAAATTTTAAGCACGGGCTCACGGAGTAACAATCATTTAATTATTTTTATACTTGTTTATTTTTTATTACATTCTATTAAAGAGATGAAGTATTCGTTTTTGCCCACTTAACAGATAAATCAGCCAAATTGCTATTAATTTGTCTTCAAAGTAATTTGATAAAAATAAAATGTAATAATAGTGTCCCATTTCCTAAAATGTAATATTTTCTTTTTTAAAACTCAATGTTGAGATAATGATTAAGATTCTAAGCCCTGGTTTGCAATTGTGTTAATACTTTGCATTTTGCTCTATCTTCATACAATTCTTTCTTAATTATTAAAATTATGATAAAAATTATAACCACCATATAATTGAAATTCAAAAAACGAAATTAAAACTATTAGATATTCTAATATAGAATCTTAAAAGAATACTTCTTTTAAATCACATTATATTAAAGAGGCTCTATATTAGACAAATTTATTTTTCTTTAAAATCACATTACATATGATCCGAAAGAAATCAAATTCAAATTAACTAAATCACATACTGCTCGTGCATCGCACGGGCTTGAAAGCTAGTGAGTATAATATGATACAAACTTTTAAAAAAAGCGCTCTATTATGACACGGAGGGAGTACCAAACATATGTGGCGCAAATGAACGTTCGGGCCTCGGAGTAACAAACATGAGTGCAAAGTGGATATTTTTTCAAGATTGAAAATTATATTTGAGAATCTAGAAGTAGAAGAAATAAGTAAATAACCCATGAAATGAAAATGTATCATCTTGTTTGCCAAGTTTCTATTTTGAATAGGCTAACAGTGGATCTTGATATGTGTTATTCCAAAGCAAGATTTTCTCTAGATTCTAAAGCAAAATGGGTTCAATCATTAGACTTTGATGATTGTGTCGTTATTTTCCTAACTCATCATGCTCTTCTTCCTCAAACGTTATTTTTAGCTCAATATCTATTTCATCTTTCTGTAAAGTGTTTTGTAGTTCGTTTGACGTTCTAGGCTTCGATTAATTGTGATTGCTGATTGATAGGGCCCTGGGCTGTAGAGAATAATAATAATAATAATAATAATAATAATAATAATAATAATAATAATAATAATAATAATAATAATAATAATAATAATAATAATAATAATAATAATAATAATAATAATAATAATAATAATAATAATAATAATAATAATAATAGTGATAGATTGATATTAAATAAGTATGTTATTGTATAAATAAGTATTTTGGGCCATGTCATATAATATGGGCTGGGCCGTTAGAATAGAAATATTATAAGAGAGGGAAGGAGGGGAGGAAGGAGGCAGGCTGATTTTGGAATCGGGAATTGGTTCTGGAGAGTTGAGTGCCTCTCGAAGTGCCTCATTTGTATCATCTTCTTCGTTTCTCAGCTTTACATCAATAATACTCATCGATTTACTGTTACGATACTGGAGTTCCTATCATTGGTAGGGACTATACATTAGAAAAAATATCGAGGGTGAACCAATATCAAATAGAACCATCTGATCATGAGGAACAAAACAATTACAATGATCCCAAAAATCAGTGTGTTTCTCAGGCAAGAAATCTCATGGTTCCGCCATCAGTTAGCTACTAGGAAGGAAGAGGTGCTCGGATGAAGATGAAGTTGAAGATCAAGGCTTTGTCCTATCACCCACCTTGAGGACAAGGTGGGTTTTCAAGGGGGGAGATATGATAGGGCCCTGGGCTGTAGATAATGATGATGATAATAATAATAATAATAATAATAATAATAGTGATAGATTGATATTAAATAAGTATGGTATTGTATAAATAAGTATTCTGGGCCATGTCATATAATATGGGCTGGGCCGTTAGAATAGAAATACTATAAGAGAGGGAAGGAGGGGAGGAAGTGTAACGCCCCTCTCAGGGTAAAAGGAATCGTTACACTAGCATACTACTTTAAAAAAAAAATAAACTGTAATATAACGGCCGTTTGTTTAAGAAATAACCCTGATAAAATCTCAAATATACCTAAGATGTAACTCCAAATAGAACTCATTAAAATTCTAGTTATCACTAGCAAATGTGACAACCACCTGGATCCAGGAATTTATTCAAACTTCAAACCATAAATAAAAAAAAAGTAATAATAATAAACTCCTTAGAACAATATCTAAAATAATGAGACATAATATTAGCTAGCTGGAAGCCGCCAAGGTCGTCCCCGTCAACTCATCTTGGCACGCGTTCCACTCTCTCATCACCTTCCGAGGCCTTGGCCTTACCTTTAGTATCTGTACATGCGAAGAAAGAAACTGATAAGCTTTACGCTTAGTAAGTCACTATGGATCCACAAAAATATCTAGAAGTCTATGCCAATTTATCAATAGATAAAATTTAGGCTATAAGCATGCACTGAACAAACAACTAACACATAACTTCTCAATTACATTCTGAGAGAGATCTCAAAGGAAAAATATTTTCTAAAATATTTTTCTCAAAACTGCTAGAGATCTCAAAATTTATTTTTCTGAAAACATCTCTGTAAAACTCTCTGAAAGAGATCTCAAAAACTTTCTGTAAATCTTTCTGAAAGAGATCTCATAAACTTTCTATAAACTCTTTGTGGCTAATTTTAACTGTGGGCCCGTGATATGTACTCAATGGCGCCAATCCGACAGCTCAGGGGAGCGACCCACTAAACATATCGGACTATCTAAAACTAAAACTGCTAACTGAGGGATCTAGTTCCCGAGTACATATCACTTAATCTTTCACTTTAAGTATTAGTTCTTTTTATGGTGACGTTTGACTAAACATCATTAATTCTGGAAACGAAAGTACTAACAAATCTTGACTATGCCAGATAATAAACATAACTTAATCTAGCAATAAAATAACTCATCACATAATTCACATAGTTCACATAATAGCAAATAGTCTAAAATTATCTATTAAAAATCAACCAGACTTCTTGCATTTGGTTGAACAAACATGTACAGGTGGTAGTGAACTTACCTGTTAGCAGCTAAACTCAAAATACTCAGATAAGTGTGGCACTTGATAACGTCTCCCGGTAAGCTCTTCCCTTAAATCTTTAATTAAATATAATATAATATAATATTACAATTAAAACTCATTATACTATAACCAAAGCTTAAATCGATGGTACTGTGAACCAAAAATTCTGTAATTGAAAATCTATCGTTTTGCTGAAAAGTGCCGACCAAAAGATCA